ATTTATTTGTTTTTAAGAATTTTCAATTAAAATACAGTTCTTTCTCTAACAAACCCCATATAAACCCAAGTTTAACAATTTGTAGAAAACTTCAAAAAAGTGCAACAAATTTTCACCTAAGTTTCAAACTTTTTTCTCGGAAGTGTTAGAATTTTTTCGAGTACACAGTTTTTTAGCCACTGCAATTTTAGTCCGATAATGTGCAAATTTCAAGTGGCTACGAATTACCGTTAATTTTTTAGAATTTTTTTTTGTCGCATTGGCTTCCATATAATGAATAAACTCAATTTATTTGTATATGGATGAAAATCGCAACACCTTTGGAGAAAAAAAATTCTAAAAAATCAACGGTAACTTTCAGTACCTTGAAACTTGCACATTATCAGACTAAAATTGATTGGGCTATAAAACTGTGTAATCAGAAAAATTCAAACACTTCTGAGAAAAAAGTTTGAAATTTAGGTGAAAATTTTTTGCACTTTTTTGAAGTTTTCCACAAATTGTTAAACTTGGGTTTATATGGGGTTTGTTAGAGAAAGAATTGTATTTTAATTGAAAATTCTCAAAAATAAATAAATAAACATAAGTTGCACACAATATCACTTCGAAATGGCGTGCTATAGATATGACCGATACTGTATATGGCTCCTCATCCAAAACATCGCTAAACATAATAAAACCCATATACGAGAAAGCCTTTTTGCTTTCCGCACCACCCCAATAAAAAGTCTCCATGTTGAATCGGGCTTGCCCACACTAGAAGAACGAATCCTGTGGATCAACTCCAAACTTATTCTAAAATCTATATTTTTGAACACATCAGTTTTAGAAGAAGACTTAAAAAATTGCTATCATCCAAACGAAGATACAATGTTACACCTGCTTTACTTAATATTATTAAACAGCACACTACATTCTGACAAAGAAGACAATACAGTACTTAAGCAACTTTTCCTTGAAAGAGTCAATGCTTGCAATAATAACTGGTCCATTGTCTTTACCGACAGATCAAAAATGGAGGACAATATTGCTTTCAGCGTAACATCCGAAGATGGCATGCATGCTTTTAAGTTTAAAAGTCATGTTCCCTTATCAATATTTTCGGCAGAAGCAGCGGCAATACACGAAGCTCTAATATTATCTCTTCGGAAAAGGTTAAACATAATATGTTCCGACAACTGATCAGTGATTCAAACGGTTAGTCATCCCACCTGCAACAGTTGGGAAACTATTAACCAGATAAGACACCTTTTAATAAAAGTAGCTAATCACTAAAACTACTGTGGGCCCCAGAACATACAGATATCGAAGGAACCACATATGCCGACAATACAGCCAAATTTGCTTGCAATTCACCAATTGTATTCAGCCCCAAAACAGAATGACTCGACATACATAAAACGACACATAAATTCATACATATAGCCACACGCCGTCAATTACTAAAAAAACTACAAGCATGAGCACTACTCCAACATCAATCAAGCTGGAAACCCTCCACTCTACCCAAAAAATATACATGGGTTTCAAACTCGAATTTTCACACCACACCAAACACCCCATTTGCACTAGCTGTAACATAAACCAGACATTGCATCACATCCTCGACAAATTTCAAAAAAGAAATATTAAATTCAGAACCTATAAACGACTTCCTTGCCATTCCCAGTCACTCAAACATCGAAAAAATCGCCGAATTCATCAAAACTAAAGAAATGATAGTCTAATAAATTAACCAAAATCTACAGACGACACAGAGCTGATGGCCTCGTAAGCCAACGCTCAAACATACTTTTAGTACTGATATTCATGACAGCCACTAAATAATAATAATAAGTAATTTTTATGCAAAAAAACAAAACTGACTTCAATTCTCATATACAAATTTAATGATCGGATCTAATCCGAATTAGTATGGGACCACCTCTTGGATGCCCATTTTCCTTTAAGAAAATAGTTAAGTCAAAGTCAAAGTTATGCGGTAGCATACATAAAAAAATATGTTTCGACGAATTGATAACCTTCTGATTTTTTTGAGGTCGGTCAAAAACATGATTCATAAATAAAATAAAATATAAATAATATAATACGGGCATGTGCTGCAAATCGTACGATTTCAAATCGATGCGATTTGCAAAATATTTTCTTTATAATTAATGCAAGTAATAAATATTTCAAATAAAAACTGATAGAAACTCCAATTCGTTTTAGAAGCAAATTTTTTCCGTTTTGTTAAGAATTCTCCAAATTAAACTTTGGAAATCGCACCGATTTTAAATCGTACGATTTGCAGCACATCCCCGATTATAATAATTATTGAGCCATGGGTTAAAAATATGTATGAACGTCTATAAAATATATTTTTTCTTTTATTTGAAGACTTACATTATGGCTACTTTGCTTGCTGGAAATATCGTCTACGGAGGACCAATTACCTGCACTGAAACACATTCGTGCAAATCTTTAGGCCATTTTGTGCTCGAGAAATATAAGAGTTTTGGTAATCAAACGGTTATAATTGATGCAGTTACTGGCCAGGAGTATACAGCTAAATATATGTATGACTCTATTGTTCGTATGGCCTATGTGTTACAACATTTGGGCGTAAAAAATGGAGATGTTGTGGGATTATCGAGTGAAAATAACGTTCGTTTTGCCATTACCTTATTTGCTTCATTCGTGGTGAATGCTGCAGTGGCGCCCTTAAACGTAACCTACACGGAGCGTAAGTTTAATAAATTATGGTTCCCACGTATGAATATTTATGTGCACTCTAAAGACATACATATGTATGTGCATACTTACCGATAAATACAAAACTTATTTTGTTTTTTTTAAACGCAGGTGAAGTACATCACGCCATCAATCTATCTAAGCCAAAGGTTATATTTGTTTCAAATTTAACGGCAGATCTCATAGCAAAGGTGGCAAAAAAGAACAGCTTCGTAAAAACAGTTATTACATTTGGTACTCGTAGTTCAGATGATAAAATTTTAAATTTCGATGACCTTATGAACAGCAAGGAAATTATATCAGACGAGTACTTTGAAACGCCTGTCGCAAACAAAGAGGATGATGTTGCGTTGATAGTATGTTCTTCGGGTACTACTGGACTCCCAAAAGGCGTGCAACTAACACAGTACAACATTCTTACCACACTTGATGCACAGTTGTAAGTATACACATAATAGTTTGCTATATTACATATCACAGATTTAGTAAAAGAATATCACAACTCTAAAAACAATTTATTTGAGCTATATACTATATAATGAACACATTAAACGCGTCTCTTGAAAAACCATATTTTTCGAGTTGTGACAGTCTTTCAGAAAATGGGTTTAGTAATCGCTCGTAATTGTTTGCTATTTAAATGCAGTGAGTCAACCGCTATTCCTATGGGCGAGACCACATTACTAACAGTGATTCCTTGGTTTCACGCGTTTGGTTGTCTTACACTAATTACAACATCGGTTTTGAGAGCAACTCTAGTGTATCTGCCGAAATTTGAGGAAAATCTTTTTCTCGGAGCAATTGAGGTGAATAATGTGTTCCAAATGCAGGGCAATACATATATATACAAGTAATATTTTTAAAAATTTTTGTTTAGAAATATCGCATAGTGATGGCATTCATGGTGCCGCCATTAATGGTCTTCTTAGCAAAACACCCACTTGTGGATAAATACGATCTATCATCGTTGATGATTTTGGTTTGTGGCGCGGCACCACTTAGCAAGGAAACCGAGGATCAGATAAAAAAGCGGTTTGTTTGAAATTTCCAAATGTATAATTTCCCTCTAGGAAAATATGAAAGTTTCCATTTGGCATTAATTGCGAAACATTTCTCTTCGTTGCTTATGTAAACAATGTGAAAACATTGTTTCGACTCCCCTTCTTAAGCGAAGCTTGAGGAAGTTCACTGAAGAATATTTTTGGGAAAAAAGTTTCCCCATGCATTCCATAGACAGGTAGGAGGAAAGTTTACCCCTGCAACGAGGAGTAAAGTTTTCCACTAAGGACATCGAAATTAACTGTCCAACAAAAGGGAATGTTTCCATGCTTATTTGGAAACTGTAAAGCATACATTGAGGAATGTTTCTCTTTCCTAGAGGGACCATAGCGAGTACATATGTATGTATATACATACATAATTTTTTTTATCCTCCCTAGCATTGGCATACCCGTTATTCGACAGGGATATGGACTGAGCGAGTCGACTCTAAGTTTGTTGGTTCAAAACGATATTGCCTGCAAGCCGGGCAGTGTGGGTGGTCTTAAAACGGGCGTTTATGCGAAAGTTATCGATCCGGAAACAGGAAGAACACTTGGTCCTAATCAACGTGGGGAATTGTGCTTTAAGGGCGGTTGCATTATGAAGGGCTATATTGGTGATCCAAAGTCTACGCAGTCAGTGATAAAAGATGGTTGGCTGCATACGGGTGACATCGGTTATTTCGATGATGATTTTGAATTTTTCATTGTGGATCGAATTAAGGAGTTAATTAAGTACAAAGGCTTCCAAGTACCTCCAGCTGAAATTGAGGCTGTGCTCTTGGCACATCCGAAAATTAAGGATGCGGCTGTTATTGGAAAACCAGATGAAGAAGCTGGCGAATTAGCAATGGCATTTGTTGTAAAACAGCCTAATGTGGAACTAAGTGAAGATGAAGTGATAACATTTGTAGCAGATCGTGCGTCACCAGCGAAACGTTTACGTGGTGGTGTAATTTTTGTGGATGATATTCCGAAAAACCCCAGTGGCAAAATATTGCGCCGAGTGTTAAGAGATATTTTGAAGAAGCGGCTATCAAAACTATAAATTAGCAATGTATAAAGATTCCGCAAATTCCATCGTCAGTATGACAAGATTTTAGAAAGTTAACATTTATGAGCGATTTACTTTAATAGTGTCATAACCATGTTAAAAACGTTAATAATAAATTAATAATTAATTATAGTGTCGTGTTTTTGTAAGAAAAACTCTCGCTCACTCTAATTTTATCAATGACACTCGCACCATATTTCTAAATACCAAAACACCTAAATATATATTATATAATATTTCTACATATTTCTAAATACCAAATTTCTTTGCAAGTTTTCAGAAAATTTTTAGTATTGAAATTTTTACTCTTTAAATTTGAAGAAAGGTTTGTTCTTCATTCGCTAACAAGAAGCAATAGATCAATAACCGCGAAAGATAAGTAAGCGCCAAATGTTTTGATTTGGCGTCTTTTTATCAAAATTATATATTTTTTCCACAAACAAATATTTTCTTCATATCCCTAAAAAAAAACAATAGAAAAATAGCTCACAGTGGACCTGGACCATCCATTCTCAAGTTATACGCGGTCTGACGTACCCAACTTTGGTTGTACATACAAATATTTATTTTTAATAACAATCAGAGGTTATATTCGTTGCAAATAAGCTGGTTTAATTAAATAATTAAAGTAAATACTATCATACACTGTTATGAACAACTCTTTGTGGAACTTCTCCTCCTGCTTCCAAAAAACATACCATTGAAATTGGAAGGAGGCAAAAAATAATTGATATAGTGTATTGTAGTGTTTATCGTGCTTGTGCTTGTGTGAATGTGTTTTGTACATAGGTAAATTTATATTCTTATTTGACGTTAGTTTTGTTGTTGCCATTGTTTGGACTAAAAATTTGGTTTTTGGCGTTCCTTTACTTTTTCCTGTTATTCAATTTTAGTGANAATACGCGGTCTGACGTACCCAACTTTGGTTGTACATATAAATATTTATTTTTAATAACAATCAGAGGTTATATTCGTTGCAAATAAGCTGGTTTAATTAAATAATTAAAGTAAATACTATATGTTATGAACAACTCTTTTTGGAACTTCGTTACTTTTTGAAAGGTGATTAAATTCTTCCCATTCTCCTCCTGCTTCCAAAAAACATACCATTGAAATTGGAAGGAGGCAAAAAATAATTGATATAGTAAGTCGATGGCTGAGTGGAAGATCGACCTATCTCGGCAGCCAGTTCGAAAACGCTCTATCTCAAAAAACTTTTCAAGAACGCCCTACTTCAGAATTTAATTGAAAAACACCCTATCTCGAAATTCGGTTCAAAAACGCCCTATCTCACTTCAAAATGTATTGAAAATATGCTGATATAGGGCGTTTTTGAATCGACAGCTGAGATAGGGCGTTTTTGAAACGAGTTCTGAAATAGGGCGTTCTTGAAAAATTGTTTGAGATAGAGCGTTTCCACTCCGCCATCGAAGTGTTTATCGTGTGAATGTGTTTTGTACATAGGTAAATTTATATTCTTTTTTGACGTTAGTTTTGTTGTTGCCAATGTTTGGACTAAAAATTTGTTTTTTTGCGTTCCTTTACTTTTTCCTGTTATTCTCTTTTAGTGAGCGCATTTTGCTTACGCTCTGGCATTTTGACACTTCAGATTTTAGTCCAAAAAGAAAAGGAATGAACCTAGTTCAAATTTTGAAATTAGTTAATTTTTCTGACAAGCGATATACAAGATCAGCATTAACATCATCGAAGACAGTTAAGTCTAAAAGCATAGAGAGACGGCAACGTTGATCTGGATTATCGACGCGTGTTTTTAGTGTTAGTTGTCTTTGACATTTTTAGTAAAATTAAACTCTAAAATTTTAAATTAACTAAAATAAAATAAAAAATGTGAAATAAAATAAACGAAAATAAAATAAAGTTAAATTAAATATATCAATCAAATAAAACTAAAAAATTTAAGTAACAATAAAAACTAATTTTTTTTTTGGAATTTTTTGGGGATCGAACCTGGGACCTGCAGGCTTGGTAGTACGCAGCCCTCACCACTCGGCTACCGCGGATGAAGTAATTAACTGCTGTGTTTGCGTATTTGNGGCGTTCCTTTACTTTTTCCTGTTATTCAATTTTAGTGAGCTTTTTAGTGAGCACTTTTCAGATTTTAGTCCAAAAAGTAAAGGAATGAACCTAGTTTTAATTTTGAAATTAGTTAATTTTTCTGACAAGGCAACGTTGATCTGGATTATCGACGCGATTGATCTGATCAAAATTGTGCCTTGACAGACGGCAGTAATGCGGATTTACGAGCCGCGAGGTCCTAGGTTCGAATCCCACGGCTAGTAAAATATTCATTTATTTTGTTTTTATTCATTCAATTATAAATTCTATATTTTTTTAAGGTGTTTTCAGTGTTAGTTGTCTTTGACATTTTTAGTAAAATTAAACTCTAAAATTTTAAATTAACTTATAATAAACTAAAAAATGTGAAAAAAAATTAAACAAACGAGAATAAAATAAAGTAAAATTAAATATATTAATCAAATAAAACTAAAAAAATTTAAGTAACAATAAAAATAAACTTTTTTTTTTGGCAATCGCTCCAACGAACCTGGGACCTGCAGGCTTGTAGTACGCAGCCCTCGCCACTCGGCTACCGCGGATGAAGTAATTAACTGCTGTGTTTGCGTATTTGTTTACTCAGAGAGCGTAGAACACGAAGAAAATTTAACACTAGCATTGACATCCACCTTGTCGGAAATGCAGTCACCGTATTAATTCAAATAAGTTCTTATTCAATTTCAATTGGATTCTTATTTGAATAAGGGCCATTTTCACCAGCTCTGGTAAACTCTAATCGCCAGTTAAACATCGTTGCCGACGTTACCGACACAATGTAATATGCATGGAGTCAGTAACGTCGGCAACGATGTTTAACTGGCGATCAGTGTTAATCAGAGTTGGTGAAAACGGCCCTTAGTATGGTAACTGCATTAACGATAAAAAGGCATATGACCATGCTTGCTTTGCTCTTTCTCTGTATTCTACGCTCTCTAAGTTTCGGTCAGTGTTGTCATCGAATATTCTCTTGATCCTAGTTAAGTTTTGGTAATTAAATCTAGGACTTAATTCGGATCAAATGCAGTTAATTCCCGAGGCAATTCCGAATTAACGAGTTGATCCGGATCGATGCTGCCGTCNTACTTCAGAATTTAATTGAAAAACACCCTATCTCGAAATTCGGTTCAAAAACGCCCTATCTCACTTCAAAATGTATTGAAAATATGCTGATATAGGGCGTTTTTGAATCGACAGCTGAGATAGGGCGTTTTTGAAACGAGTTCTGAAATAGGGCGTTCTTGAAAAATTGTTTGAGATAGAGCGTTTCCACTCCGCCATCGAAGTGTTTATCGTGTGAATGTGTTTTGTACATAGGTAAATTTATATTCTTTTTTGACGTTAGTTTTGTTGTTGCCAATGTTTGGACTAAAAATTTGTTTTTTTGCGTTCCTTTACTTTTTCCTGTTATTCTCTTTTAGTGAGCGCATTTTGCTTACGCTCTGGCATTTTGACACTTCAGATTTTAGTCCAAAAAGAAAAGGAATGAACCTAGTTCAAATTTTGAAATTAGTTAATTTTTCTGACAAGCGATATACAAGATCAGCATTAACATCATCGAAGACAGTTAAGTCTAAAAGCATAGAGAGACGGCAACGTTGATCTGGATTATCGACGCGTGTTTTTAGTGTTAGTTGTCTTTGACATTTTTAGTAAAATTAAACTCTAAAATTTTAAATTAACTAAAATAAAATAAAAAATGTGAAATAAAATAAACGAAAATAAAATAAAGTTAAATTAAATATATCAATCAAATAAAACTAAAAAATTTAAGTAACAATAAAAACTAATTTTTTTTTTGGAATTTTTTGGGGATCGAACCTGGGACCTGCAGGCTTGGTAGTACGCAGCCCTCACCACTCGGCTACCGCGGATGAAGTAATTAACTGCTGTGTTTGCGTATTTGTTTACTCAGAGAGCGTAGAACACGAAGAAAATTTAACACTAGCATTGACATCCACCTTGTCGTCGGAAATGCAGTCACCGTATTAATTCAAATAAGTTTTTATTCAATTTCAATTGGATTCCTATTTGAATTAGTATGGTAACTGCATTAACGATAAAAAGGTATGTGCCCATGCTTGCTTTGCTCTTTCTCTGTATTCTACGCTCTCTAAGTTTCGGTCGGTGTTGTCATCGAATATTCTCTTGATCCTAGTTAAGTTTTGGTAATTAAATCTAGGACTTAATTCGGATCAAATGCAGTTAATTCCCGAGGCAATTCCGAATTAACGAGTTGATCCGGATCGATGCTGCCGTCAGTTTATGCTTTAAGTTGCATCTTTATATAGGAATCTTATTTTTGTGAAAACTGTAGATAGATCGTATTGAAATAAGCCCTCAATATACTCCCATAGTAAAAGTTAATACATATTTTGTTCAAGTGAGATACTAGTAATCGCTAGAGCTATGAAATGTAGCTGTAATTTCTGCATACTCGCACAAAAATTTATAAATTTGACATAATGACACTATTGAAGTAAATGAGCGATATATTTACATACATATGTACATATCCGACACCAAAAATACAAAAAGGCGTAACAAACATTGTCACTGAAATGGAAAAAGTCGTGACTAATAATTTTTTTTTCATTATATCTAAAGAAAAAGTGAATTTTGAATTTTTACGACTTTTTGTATTTCAGCGAAAATTTATGTTACGTCTTTTTGCATTTCAGGTGACGATATGTATCTATAAAAACATACATATATTTTGTAGTGGATTACAATATTAATTATCTATTACCGAAAGATTCTGGGCTTAAGTTCTATTGTTTATAAAATGTTTACCAAATATAAAATAAAGCCTTTTAACTTCCATATAGTTTACACTTTACAATGCTAAGTATTAAGTTTAATGAGCGTTGGAAATTCCGTCACGTAGGAGCCGTTAAATACACTCCGATCATTTGAAAATAATTGCTACCGGCAGTAATGTCTTTGCTGCAGTTCTATTGTAATGGACCACGGGTTATACTGCAAAATACGGTTTCACAATATCTGTGCTTTACCTCTGGGAATTATTAACAACGACGCTGGATATACTGAACACCATGCGAAAGTCAATTTTGCACACAAAAAAAAATCAATATATTCGCAAAACTATGGGTCAAATACGGTGAAACTGCGTTCTTAGTTATCTTCTCTTACGTCAGATTTTTTATTAAGACGACTTTAAAATTTCAAAGACATGATTAATTAAAAAAAAATCTAAGTTCGGGCGGAGGCGAACATTTAATACCCGGCGTAAGTATTAAATATGGGTTTTTTCACCTTTCCGAAAACCACCACCACATGGTAAGCAGGGGTGGTTTTACCCCTATTTCAAACGTCTTCGATACAAGCGACTTTAAATATCGAAATATCGGAGTCTTAAGCATTTCTGAAATTTACCGTTCTATATAAAGTGGGCGTAATTTTAAACCGATTTCAATAATTTTCAACGTTTTGCTTGTATGCAGTAAGCACAATATACATACCGAGTTTGGTACAAATTTATCGAACGGTCGCCGAGATACACATATGTGGTCATAAGTGGGCGGTGCCACGCCCATTTTTCGAAATTTTATCATAAGCGTAGTTTTAGCTAAAGAATTGTTGCAAACATCAATTTTTAATAAATCAGCTTCAGTATTTACTGATTTAACGAAGATTTCGTTCGTTCCTTAAAATTGCAGTTATTTGGGATGTGGGCGTGGTTATTGTCCAATTTTAAAAATTTTCAACCGTTTGAAATGCTTTACCAAGGCCAACAACTGTGCCAAATTTGGAAGGAATTAGTGTAGCGGTTACGAAGATATACACATGTAATCATAAGTGGACGGGGCTATGCCCCTTTTCCAGAAATAATATTCTTGTTTTTCGTCTAAAAATCATTGCAAATATCAATTTTGAGTGAATAAGCTTCNTGTTTATGCTTTAAGTTGCATCTTTATACAGGAATCTTATTTTTGTGAAAACTGTAGATAGATCGTATTGAAATAAGCCCTCAATATACTCCCATAGTAAAAATGAATACATATTTTGTTCAAGTGAGATACTAGTAATCGATACAGCTATGAAATGTTTACACAACATAGAAGAAGAGGTAGCTGTAATTTCTGCATACTCGAACTCAAAACTTATAAATTTGGCATAATGACACTATTGAAGTAAGTGAGCGATATATTTACATACATATGTACATATCCGACACCAAAAATACAAAAAGGCGTAACCAACATTGTCACTGAAATGGAAAACGTCGTGACTAATAATTTTAGTTTTTTCATAAAACGATCCATTATATTTTGACCTTTTATAAGTTACGACTTTTTGTATTTCAGCGAAAATGTATGTTACGTCGTTTTGCATTTCAGGTGACGATATGTACCTATACATATATTTTGTAGTGGATTACAATATTATTTATCTATTACCGATTCTGGGCTTAAGTTCTATTGTTTATAAAATTTTTACCAAATATAAAATAAAGCCTTTTAAATTCCATATAGTTTATACTTTGCAAAGCTAACTTTTCAGTTCAAAGAGCGTTGGAAATCCCGTCACGAAGAAGCCGTTAAATACACTCCGATTATTTGAAAATAATTTCTACCGGCAGTAATGTCTCTGCTGCAGTTCTGTTGTAATGGACCACGAGTTATACTGCAAAATGCGGTTTAACAATATCTGTGATTTACCTCTGGGAATTATTAACAACGACGCATCTATTGAATACCAAAATCCTGCTGGATATACTGAACATCGTGCGAAAGTCAATTTTGCACACAAAAAAAAAATCAATATATTCGCAAAACTATGGGTCAAATACAGTAAAACTGCGTTCTAAGTTTTCCCCTCTTACGTCAGATATTTTATTAAAAGGACTAAAATTTCAAAGGTATGATTAATTCAAAACAAAGTCTAAGTTCGCGCGGAGGTGAAAAAACTACCGCCACATGGTAAGCAGGGGTGGTTTTACCCCTATTTCAAACATCTTCGATACAAGCGACTTTAAATATCGAAATATCGGAGTCTTAAGCATTTCTGAAATTTACCGTTTTATATAAAGTGGGCGTAATTTTAAACCGATTTCCATAATTTTCAACGTTTTGCTTGTATGCAGTAAGCACAATATACATTACCGAGTTTGGTACAAATTTATCGAACGGTCGCCGATTTTTCGAAATTTTATCATAAGCGTACTTTTAGCTAAAGAATTGTTGCAAACATCAATTTTTAATAAATTAGCTTCAGTATTTACTGATTTAACGAAGATTTCGTTCGTTCCTTAAAATTGCAGTTATATGGGATGTGGGCGTGGTTATTGTCCAATTTTAAAAATTTTCAACCGTTTGGTATGTTTTACCAAGGCCAACAACTGTGCCAAATTTGGAAGGAATTAGTGTAGCGGTTACGAAGATATACACATGTAATCATAAGTGGACGTGGCTATGCCCCTTTTCCAGAAATAATATTCTTGTGTTTCGTCTAAAAATCATTACAAATATCAATTTTGAGTGAATAAGCTTCAGTAGTTAATAAAATATCGCAGTTTTCGTATTTCGGAAAACTACCGTTATATGGGAAGTGGGCATGGTTATTGTCCGATTTTGCCCATCTTCAATACCATCTGCCCTACTCCTAAAATAAGTACACGTACCAAGTTTCGTTAAGATATCTAAATTTTTACTCGAGCTATCGTGTGCACAGACGGACGGACGGACGGACATACAGTCATACTGTAATTTACAATTGAGGCATTCACGACGGTGTAGTAAGCGTCGTATTGTTGTATGTTGTAAACTTTAAAAGCTTAAATAAATGTTTAGAGAACCTGAAACCAAAAACAACTATTTTTTAACACTGCGAAAATATGACCTTGATGGTACTTTGCGAACACCCGTAATATATTTTTTAGGGTTTTAAAGCTAACGACATACAACACTTACCACAAATGATTTTTATATTTCGAGTTTACTCAATGCATTTTTAATTTTATAAATGATCATTATTTTTAAGTGGAAAAATAAAAGCCATAAAATAATTATTATTTTTGATCGAAAAAAGAAAACTCAATATTGGNAATTTCGGAAAACTACCGTTATAGGGGAAGTGGGCATGGTTATTGTCCGATTTTGCCCATCTTCAATACCATCTGTCCTACTCCTAAAATAAGTACACGTACCAAGTTTCGTTAAGATATCTAAATTTTTACTCGAGCTATCGTGTGCACAGACGGACGGACGGACGGACATACAGTCATACTGTAATTTACAATTGAGGCATTCACGACGGTGTAGTAAGCGTCGTATTGTTGTATGTTGTAAACTTTAAAAGCTTAAATAAATGTTTAGAGAACCTGAAACCAAAAACAACTATTTTTTAACACTGCGAAAATATGACCTTGATGGTACTTTGCGAACACCCGTAATATATTTTTTAGGGTTTTAAAGCTAACGACATACAACACTTACCACAAATGATTTTTATATTTCGAGTTTACTCAATGCATTTTTAATTTTATAAATGATCATTATTTTTAAGTGGAAAAATAAAAGCCATAAAATAATTATTATTTTTGATCGAAAAAAGAAAACTCAATATTGGGGCGTATATCATTTTCTATACAAAAAATTCAAATTTTCGATNGCCGCTTAATCGATTTCTTTTTTCGTTCTTGATCATTTATGCGTACACTTCTCTATATCTATCTCGATTCGTTTTGGCTGTTACAAACAACCGTTATGTGAACAAAATTATAATAGACAAGTGCACTCGTGTATAAAAATTTATACATATTTAAAAATTCCTTTGGCCTTTCCGTTTTCTGACAGCACTTCACACACTTTTGTCATAATGTGGCATAAAATAGTCTCCCATTTATTGTAGTTTTTTTTTCGCAATCCCAACAAACCACGGCAGAGGCAGTGTTTGGACGCCCTGACCAGGGATCTTCTTCCAGCGACTACCTGCCATGTTTGAATTCTCGGTTCCAAGTTTGATGGTGGCAAATGAACGTCCAGACTCCCCATATGCTGTGCACATCTCTTCAATTATTTCCCAGCTCTGTACTCAAATTTCGTACAATGCGCGGACGACTCGCACATGGTGAGATTTGCGGCTAATAACCTGGGACGGAAAATAATCATAATTTTTTTAGTTTTAACCGAAAAAACCGTCGGAGACAATTTTAACTATAGCAACGTATTTGTATTCGTACGTCTTACTGTAATTTACAATTGAGGGATTCACAACGGTGTAGTAAGTGTCGTATTGTTGTATGTCGTAAACTTTAAAAGCTTAAATAATTGTTTAGAGAACCTGAAACCAAAAACAACTATTTTTTAAAACTGCGAAAATTCATAATATGACCTTGATGGTACTTCGCGAACCCCCGTAATATATTTTTTAGGGTTTTAAAGCTAACGACATACAACACTTACCACAAATGATTTTTATATTTCGAGTTTACTCAATAAAGATTAAATATATTCACCCTCATTGCGAGAGTCGTGTCGAATGCAAGTCGTTTTCGAGAGTCGAATCGTATCGAAAATTTCACGTCATTGCCTAAAAGTTCCACTCGACTAGTGTATTAAAGCGGAAAAACTTGGCAGCACTGTATAGTTTTCGACGATTTTGGTCGTTTGCTTATTTCAGTACGACAATAGACAATGCTACTGTTGTCGAATCGTACACTTTAGCCTAATTTACGACTTACGCAATGAGGCTGATTATTAAATATTTGAATTTTATTTTTTGGCTCAAAGGAAATTCTATTTGTATTATTTTTTTGATCAACAATAATGATTTTTGTTTTTTTTCCCCCTTAAGAATAATGATTATTCGAAAAACTCAAAAACTATATCAGCGTAATTTCCGACGTATCCCTTTCAGAAGAAGCGACACTCCAATAAAAGGAATAAGTTCAAAAATCTTCAGGTCAAAATTTCCGTTGGTTGCGTCTGTATGGCATTTTTAATTTTATAAATGATCATTATTTTTAAGTGGAAAAATAAAACTCAATAATAATTACATATTATGTCAGCGAAAAAATAAAAGCCATAAAATAATCATTATTTTTGATCGAAAAAAGAAAATCCAATATTGGGGCGTATATCATTTTCTATACAAAAAATTCAAATTTTCGATTCGTACGAAAACCAGAAAACGCCTCAATAATTCTTATTTTTAAGCGAACAAAAACAAATCATAAAATAATGATTAAATGCTGATTTAAATTATTATTTATTTTCACAAGAAAAAATGGCAAAGTAAGACAACATTATCAACTTTTATTAAATATGGATACAATTCTGTGAATGAGGGATTGTTTTTTCGTTTTATTTTTAGGTTTAAACAATATGTTGACAATTTGGAAGAACACGGATTACATGCTGCCCAAGGTGCTGGTTTATTAAGACACAGGTAGACAGGTTTTCAAAGTAAATTTTCTGAGGATTATTAAAAGTTCAGCTGAATATTTTGAAAAATTGGTTTCAAAACTGTTTTCTCCTTAATGAACTACATACGTATGCACGTATTCACAAAATGCGTACTATCATACATTTCTATTTATATATCGATGGCTGAGTGGAAGATCGACCTATCTCGGCAGCCAGTTCGAAAAAATTCTATCTCAAAAAACTTTTCAAGAACGCCCTATTTCAGAATTCGTTTCAAAAACGCCCTATCTCAGCTGCCGATTCAAAAACGCCCTATATCAGCATATTTTCAATACATTTTGAAGTGAGATAGGGCGTTTTTGAACCGAATTTTGAGATAGGGAGTTTTTCAATCGAATTCTGAAATAGGGCGTTCTTGAAAAGTTTTTTGAGATAGGGCGTTTTCGAACTGGCTGCCGAGATAGGTCGATCTTCCACTCAGCAGTCGATATGTACCTATGTATGTACATATCTACATAGATGTACATATGTACATATATAGATGTGCATATAAAGGTATTTCTGTGTACATACATACATATATTATTGACTCTTTTTAAGTTTACATATATTAACACCTTTTGTTTATTTCATCTGATAAAACCATTACATTTATAACAATCACGTGACTCAGGTGTTTGCCCATACATATTTCATCAAGCTGTTGTTAAGGAGTCGCAACTATGTAAATACCTTAATAGTTAGATTAAATAAAAATTTAAGACTATGAAAATAATTTCAAAATATTGCATTGTCAAGTAAATATTATTTTGGGAAAAATAAAGTAAAAAAAAGGGTTTTTTTTTGGTGGAACTATGTCGGATCATCCAACAGAAGAGACTTCTTGCAAGGCTCCAGTCTAATGTAGTAGGTTTAAACTTTCGTGTTGCCGTCTTTATAGTCCGCGTGGAGATTAGGAAAGATGTCCTTTCTACCGCTATCTGTGTATATACCGTCTGGTAGCTTAATTTCTGGTTGAGTGTCCACCATTTCCTTTGTTAGGGCTTTATGAAGTTTCGTCGCTACAGTAGTAAATGTTAAGTCTCCCCAGAAGCTTCTAAAGATTTTCTTCTTCGCCTTCGTTATCTTTTTATTGTGTGTTGTAAGACTAGCTGCATATACCGGGCTTTATTATTTTTTTCGCATTTGAATATTACAATACTGGTTTTTGTGGAACATAGTTCCCTTAAAACAATTTCCGAGTGCTCAGAATTGATGAGTCTAAAATGAGTCCTTGTTTCGTCAAAAATATGATTCTGAGACCAGTCAACCAGACGGACTCGTTTCGGACCAAGATAAAAACATTACAAGGTAAATTCATTCTCTCAATTCGTCGGCCATGGTTTTTTACCCATGATACAAATATAACAAGGTAAAACCATTGAGAGGCAGCCTGACGTTTGCCAGCAATATAATCTGTCTTACCCTGAGTTTCGCCTGAAAAAAAATTTGTTATCCGCTCATTGTAAAACCATGGAAACCAAGAGTGAAAAGTGAACCGTTTCGGGAAAAATGAAACTCATGATAAGGCTGAATATAAAAGTTCAAAGTTCAAAATTCAAACTCACACACACATTCTCATTTTTAATAGCAAACAACAATAATTGTGAACGATTTCTTTTTTTTATTTTCAATTTTATCAGGTCGATCCTGAACAGAAACTCCCTGGGAGTTTTCTCTCTTTTGCCCTTCCTCCTATCATGAATAAAAATTCTCTGACGATTTTTTATATTAAAGGGCGGAGTTGAGCTGTCATAAAGGGTCAAACAGCTTTTTTGAAATTCAAATTTCCTCTTTCCTTCCCTGAGAACAAACTCCCGGGAGTATTAAGAATTAAAATGCTTGCAAACGTCAGAAAAAAATCATGGCGGACGAATTGAGAGAATGAATTTACCTTGTAATGTTTTTATGGTTTTACCTTGTTATGTTTTTATCACGTTTCGGACTCTTTTGGTGTCACAGATTCTGAGTTGAACAAAAGTAACTAAGTTCACGTAGAATTAAAAGTTTATTAATAATCAGAATTATAAAGAATATTTATTTTTAAGACTCAGAAAGCGTGATATTTCAGACTCTAATATGACTCTTTATTTCTTTATTTTCTCACTCTTTTTTGAGTTCATAATGAAAGTTACAACTCAGAATTCTCAGACTTTTCTGACTCTAAAACCATAACACAATTGTTTAGATGAAAAAGTTGTATAAATGAAGTTAAGTATAATTCCGGTATCAGATTTTTTTTTCAGAGAACTCTCTAAACTCTTAAATCCTACCTAAAAGAGTATCATTTTGGATAAAATTTTATTGAAAATCAGCCATTAGACAATTAAAATATGCTTAAAAACTTTTAAAATAGAATTTTACTAGAGCGCAATGGCTTTATGCTACCAGGGTTTGAAGTTAATTTAAATAATTGACACCACAATATAGTCATTCCATTTTATTACCGATTGGGATATCTGATGATCACAAATAAAGAAAAATCTCCTAATATTCCGGAGGGAGTAAAAATTATTAATACATAGAATTAAACCAAATGCTGTTGTGAGAAGGAAATATGTAACAAACACAATGAAAATAATTTAAAATTAATTGATTTAATATCCACATGCACACATAATATAATCATTTTAAAATGTATAAATATATGAATTAAGGTTCATTGAATGTATGACAATTTTTACTTTTCTTTAATAATTTTGCAAGAAATAAGAACATTTAAAATGCTCAATTTAAAACATCTACATACATACTTTCATTTATAACGATTTTCTATTTTAATTTTTTTTTTTGTTTTAGCTGATTGTCAGCGATCAAAGAGGAGTCTATAATAATAACATCTTGTTGAAACACTTCGGCCATCTATTCTAGCACAGTTTCCAATCACTTTGTGAAACTTTGACAACATTCACTTAAGCTAATCCAATACATTTGATTACACAGTAATCTCCATGCGATTCGCTTTGCGTGTAACTTTTGGTTGAGATTGAACCAGATCAGACATGCCACCATATTTAAATGAGAATATAATTGTCTGTTGGCCAAAATTCGCTTCAAATCTAAAGTGAGATTTTGTTTTTGTATTTAGTAATGGTAACAGTTATGATTTCGCAATAGCAACATACTCGGTACTAATGTGTATTTCCGGTGGCTTCCCCGTGGCATTTTGTATAANACTTCGAAATGTACATGTAAACAAAAAGTAAATTCAGATGTTTTCTGCGTTTTTCTGTATACCGAGATTAATCGCTTTGCATAAGTACGACACTGGTAGCCACGGCTACTAGACCAGCAACTAGAAACCAGTCGCCATACATAATAGGGCCAATAATATATATATTTGAAATTTCATTATACTTACAATGTGTTATATGTACGCCCATGGGATCACCTTTGAAGTCGATTTCTATATCAAATAGTTTACCCTGTGCAAGAGATAGGTTGATATTTAAAATATACATACATACGTATGACAAATTTAAACGAATTCTATGGAATACAATTTGTGGTATTTACATAACGACTAGAGTTGCTGTTTTTCAAAGTCACCGCATTTCCCATAGCCTCGAGAAAGACATCCGCACAGGTGACACATTCTCGCAGCCTTTGACTGGGCGACTTTCGACGTGACCTTGTGTTAGGCACATTCATTGTCCCTGAGAGTGAAAGTGATGAAGAAGTTTGTGCACAGGTCGACGCATTACTTGGATTAAAAATAGAAGCGGCAAACATTTGATTCTGTTTGTGTGCTTCATATAGAGATATACGTTGTGTCGAGCCAATCAATGATGAACGGTCGGTTTGACTTTCTGTGGAATGTTGACGCAATAAATTGCAGAAACTACCTCGGTGCATTGCTCTTGATGGTCCCGCTGAAAAATTTTGTGTACTGGTATTTTTAAAAGGCAAATTTCGGGAATCAATTTCCAATGCTAAAGCACGTGTGCATTTGCTATGGCCACACTGTCGACAACCGCCGCTAGTATAAATACCTGCTTGGTGGGCGTTATGCAGGTGTTTAGAAGATGTTGCGAAATTTGTATTCATAAGCGCGGCAGTGACCATTGGGGCCGTTTGTGTCGGCTGGTGTTTAAAGCAAGATTTTGACGGATGTTTATCAATATTGCGAAATGTTCCTTTGCTATCAATATATGAAATATTTTCAGTGCTTTTATGATGAGAGAAATCGAAATCGACTATTTTCTCTCGCATATTCCGCCGTGTCTGACTACGGTCAGAACTTTCAGCCCGAATGCGTTGTGCGGATATATTTGCTGTGCTGCAACGACGTGGCCCAAGCCCGGGAGACAACGATTGCCGGCGAGAGGTGTTTGTTATTGTCATGACGCTATCAGATTTTTTGGATAATGGAACATTTGTGGCAGAACAATTGCTAGACGTACGTCGATGCAAGGGCGCGTAACCGGTGTAACCACTGGTGCTAGCGGTGCTGTTCGAAACTTCTTTTTTAATTTGTTGTACTAGAGTTATTTTATCTTGAATATGCGTAAGAAAGTTAACAATCATTTTGAAAGACTCCGTTTTGCCAGCGCCGCTTTCACCTTTTCAAAAAAGGAGATAATATTACGTATTTGTTTCATTAGAAAAAAAATTAATCCAACCTGTCAGTACAATGCACTGATCTTCGCCTTGATCTTTAAGTGACTGAAATGCCAAATTAGCTAAACCATAACTATAGCAAAATATTAAATAAATACCGATGTTTCCAATTTTGTATACATATGTTTACATTAACTTACATATGTGGTGGTAACTGAAAGATTCCTTTACTGCCATAATTTCGAATAGTATCCGAAGTTCGTTCTGATATGTGGTGATAAGGATTTACCGCGACAACGGAAGTCCCAATGTATGTCTTAAGTGTAGAAACATAAGTTTTGAGTTCTGAAAAATCTGAGATAGTTTTACTTACGTATATGCTGTCCCGTTTGTAGCGAAGGTGTATGTTATTTATAAAGCTGTCTTCCGAAAGATTTTCCAGTAAAACCGAGTCCCAAGTGCCGACCTCTAGTTCCATAGTGCGCGGTACGTATATATATATATTTTTTTTCGATCAATTTAGTCAACAATCAGAATAATGCAACTCAAACTAAAGGTCCCACATTAATAAACTATCCATTCCGAGTGATGACGCTAAACCACTCTTTTTTGGTGCTAAATAAAGTACAAAATATTTCATATTAATCGTTTGCCTCAATATGGTGTCAACTAGAAGTATTTAGCAAATTCAACTCGACTTCGAAAACATAAAATCATCAAGTACTTACCTTCAAACTAGAAGTATATAAACTTGCTTTATTTCGTATTACAATAGCATTTTTCAGTGTCCATTTTTATTTTGTATTAAATTAAATATTCTTATACTAAAAGCATAATTTTTCACAATCGCCCCCAGGCATTTTCACATTCTTTCAATTTTTCTAAATATGACATTTTCGCTTTATTTGACGTTTGTAAATAATTCGCAATGCTGCCATGTTTGAAAACAATTAATTAAAAAGTCATTTTATAGCTCGTTTACGTAACGCAACGTAAACTTGCTTCGCTTTGGCTGCGTTTCTTTATACATCCCGGATAATCCCAGAATGGAATAAAAAGAATGCGTTTGAAATATACGTTAACATATAATCAGGAACGTTCTAAAGAAAAAGTAAACAAAAAAGTTTATTCCAAACATTCAGAGGCGGCATTTCTTTATTCATTCTGAACGTTTGGAATAAACTTTTTTGTTTACTTATTCTTTAGAACGTTCCAGATGATATGTTGACGTATATTTCAAACGCATTCTGTTTATTCCAGCTGTGAAATGGGATTATCCGGCATGTATAAAGAAACGCAGCCAGAATGAATAAGGAAATGCAGCTTTTATTTATGCAAATTGAAGTAACTTTATTGTGGCTGAATTTCTTTATTCATTCTGAACGTTTGGAATAAACTTTTTTGTTTACTTATTCTTTAGAACGTTCCTGATGATATGTTAACGTATATTTCAAAAGCATTCTGTTTATTCCGGCTGTGAAATGGGATTATCCGGAATGTATAAAGAAACGCAGCCTGTATGAAACACTTACAAAATGGTAGTATGACGAACTTCACAAACTTTAAAATCTAATCATAAATATTCCACAAAATAACAAACAAAAATAATCGTATACATATTATATATTGAAGGAGACAGCGTTATCTCTGCTCTCAACTTTGCACATCCAATGCCATTAACTATTGCCTTATTTGAATTATAGTACCTGTAAATATATCATGCATGTATGTATGTATATTATTAGACAATGATGCATAGATTTTATAAGATAATACTGAATAGTAAACAAACCCACTCGACACGCCTATTTTTGTATTTACAAAACTTGTATGCCAGTCAGAAGTTAATCTTGTAACGTTATGAAAAATGTTTTCTTCAATATAAAACTTGGCAACTCGGCCATAAAAGTATGTCAAATTTGCGCAGCTGCGTTTGCAGTTTTTCATCTTGGCCGTTCATTCGTTTTCTAAGGTCCATGTTAAAATGTTGTTTAGTTTATGTTTTTGTGCACAGCAATGTGATGTTCGTTTATATTAATTTTTGTTGGGCTTTAATTTCGAGTTAGTGAGCTTAATTTTAATTTATAGTTATGCAAAAGTGAGAATATAACCGGTGCTACAAAATTGACGGAGGCGTTTTTACAGAAAAAAAAAAATCAAAAATGCAGTGAATGCGGTAAAGAAAAATGCATAAAGCGCTCTATAAGGGCAAAGTAGTTTTAAATTTTTTTTGTATTCGTATTTCAAGTAAATTGTTTACAGATTTATAGCTCCTTGTAAAAAGAGCTCCAGTTACAAGGCAAAGAAAAAAAAGTACATAATTGGTGTGACGACAGCTGTAACTGCATCCATGATACGTTGATGGTTAAAGCACCGCGATTGGTTTGGTCGCACCCATTTTTCTGCATCTGATATGCTTTTGCTTTAATTTTGTATTTTTAAGTGACACGCAAATTACGAAATTACAGTGTTTTTTGTCTAAAATTTGCAAGTTGTGCTGTGTTTTAAAGTGAATGTAAAAACAGCGTAGATATATTTCGGCAAAAACTTCTTTTAGTCCGTTAAACAAATCGATTTGTAACTCCTGCAATAAAGTCATTCTTAATATTAAATCTTCATTCTTTTTATCGGGACTTTAAGGCTATCTTTATATTACGTTAATCACCTTATAGTTTACCAAGAAACAACCAAGGTGATAAATGTAATTTTTACAAGAAATAAATAAAAGATCAAATTGAGAGAAATGTGGCACAAACATACCCAGGGAGAGTGCTACAAACATGAAAATCTGCCTAAGAAAAAACTTTTATCAATGACACCAAAATTTCTGTGCAAGCTGTATTATCTTATTGGCGTGCTGTTCCTGCCGCTTGTAACCTCAGGTCATAATTGCCAGCATTTGCACCCCAAAGCTCATGAGGTAAGTTCATACAGAGATTTATATGATGATGTTAAAATCCTTGAAACTTGTGCCTATTTTCGTCATTACTCAAGATATTAAAAATTTGAAAATAGGGTCTGAACGTTTTTTGCTAGTTTTCCCACATTGAAACAAGTATAATTTTAGTAATTAATCCATACTCGATTTCCTTGCATCCATAAGATCGTGTTTTCTTGTTCTTAACTCTTCCCTGGGACTGGCTACAAGCAGGGCCGGCGGAAGACGTGGGTATGGTGAGTAGTACTACTCACCTGAAATTTTTAAAGGTGGGTAATTACCCACCTGAAAATTTTTAGAAGAAAAATAAGTCCCTTTGAAAAGGTATTTTCAAAAGATATGTTATGAAATTTTTGACCAAGTTATTTGCTCCCAGACAAGTTAGTTTTATAAAACTTTAGCAAGGCTCATTCTTGCTGAGACAGTCGATTTGAAGAAAGTGTTACGTTTTATAATGGTGATATTGACGAATGCAGACTCAATAGCGATAAAGATATATCTCGGTGCATAATGAGGCGCACAGAGCAAAATCCCGGATCTGTGAAAGATGTTGTGCCTCATTAGATTACTTGTTACAATTCCTGGGTCGTAATGTTCTAACAAGAGGAGCTTTTCTGTTTTGCCTAGGGTAAACAATTATTTGCGCTCGACAATGTACCAAAAATGGCTCACCCATGTAGCAATATTGCATTCCTATCCATGAACTCATGAACGACTTTATTTCTCGAAATTCAAAACGAATAACCCTATTTTCACTGCAGATATAAACNCGCCTAGGGTAAACAATTATTTGCGCTCGACAATGTACCAAAAATGGCTCACCCATGTAGCAATATTGCATTCTTATCCATGAACTCATGAACGCCTTCATTTCTCGAAATTCAAAACGAATAACCCTATTTTCACTGCAGATATAAACATTTTTGCAATTTTTATTACATGTTAATTTCCACGAAATATATGTATAAATCTGTGGTCATAAGCACTAACCTAAGCCTAAGTCGACTTAAGAAAGAATGGAGTTATGTATATATGCCATCGTATTCTTCAACCCCTATTCCATGCGTACGTGAAATTCCCCATCTCGCCAGCTAGGATATTTAAAAAGGTATAGGCGCAAATATTTTGGTTTCCTCATAAGGTTAACATTACAATCACAATCTTTAAAGCTTTTTTTCTCGAATTCAGATTTTTCGACTTAGGCGATTATTGCTTATGACCACAGAAATATCGTCACCTGAAATGCAAAAAGGAGTAACAAACTCGTAACTAAAATGTAAAAAGTCGTGACTAATAATTTTTTTTTCATAAAAGGATGTGAGAGTTATATTCGATGAAATATGATGGACATATCAATCAAAAAGCGAATTTTGAATAATTTTTTATTGATTACGTCTTTTTGCATTTCAGCGACGATGTTTGTTACGTCTTTTTGCTTTTCAGGTGAATTGTTCATGGCATGTATGAAAAATAAATGTATTATCCACGAAACAATAAGTTTTGCAAACGGAATCTGTTAACCTTCTCAATTATTTATTTATTTATTTATTTATTTTTTACAGTCTGTTAGACTTATATTGCAACAAAGATTTAACATTCTTATAATTAGATTTTAGATTTAAAATATAAATATTAAATATTAAATACAAAATACAAAATGCTCTACAGAAATTTTTAAATAATATTATTTCTTTATCACTGCAATTATTTTATGTCATTATTCCTGGAAGTTATGTAGACGGTTGGAAAGGCCGAGTTTCCAATCCGCGCTATTCTCAATTAATAATAATAATAATAGATTGGCGCTTAGACATATGTTAGTGTTTGGCCGAGCTTCTCCTCCGAGTTGTGGCGTGCGCCTTGATGTTGTCACACAAAGCGGAGGGACCTACAGTTTTACGCCGACTCCGAACGGCGATTGCATTTTTATGAGAAGCTGGTTTTCATGACAGAATTACACTCGGAGGTTTACCTCCTGCCTGCCGAGGGACGACCGCTGTTAAGAAAAAAACCTTTTTTCTGTATTTTTTGCGATGTTGCTTTGGCGAGTGTTTGAACCCAGGTGCTGCGGAGTGGAAGCGCGCACTGCTTACCACTACACCACAGCGGCCGACGACCTTCTCAATTACAAGCGAATATTTTTGTGGAACAAAATTTCCATTTTTTTAGGTTAGTAGGTCTAAGTAACTTGGCAATTTATAAATATTCATGACTCTTAATTTAGATCCCCCAATGTCAATAAAATCAAACCTAAAACCAGTAACTGAAATAATATCTTTAGTAATTTGAATATTAACAAGCTTGTTTAAAGGTATATTTATTAAATGGTCATTAACTTTTCGCTGCTAAGCAATACGAGTAATGTTGAAATTTTGAAATGCATGCAAACATACATACGTATATCGATGGTCCTCTGCAATAACGGCACAACTCAAAATTAAAAAAAAAAAAACGCTTGCTACTGTTAAGTGTCTTATGTCTCGAATCCTTGTTTAATACATGTTTCATCTTTTCGAGTTACTTAAGGAACCCTTACTACTTGCATTGGTGAGGATAAGACTTGATATCACAAATTTGATTTTAAGTATATAAATATTGAAAATACATCGACAGGCCATTCACTATTCATTAAAAGCACCAAGTAAATGCAGGCGACATGTAAACACAAAACAGCTGATATGCACTTTGACACTTTATCCATTTTTACCCGGAGAAAAAGTCCGGGCTATTACGAGCAGGANAAATGGTCATTAACTTTTCGCTGCTAAGCAATACGAGTAATGTTGAAATTTTGAAATGCATGCAAACATACATACGTATATCGATGGTCCTCTGCAATAACGGCACAACTCAAAATTAAAAAAAAAAAAACGCTTGCTACTGTTAAGTGTCTTATGTCTCGAATCCTTGTTTAATACATGTTTCATCTTTTCGAGTTACTTAAGGAACCCTTACTACTTGCATTGGTGAGGATAAGACTTGATATCACAAATTTGATTTTAAGTATATAAATATTGAAAATACATCGACAGGCCATTCACTATTCATTAAAAGCACCAAGTAAATGCAGGCGACATGTAAACACAAAACAGCTGATATGCACTTTGACACTTTATCCATTTTTACCCGGAGAAAAAGTCCGGGCTATTACGAGCAGGAAGAAGAAGACACTTACGATCCAACACGTTCAAATTTTTGCTCTCTATTACCCATTTTATTGAGTACGGGAATGATTTTTGGGCTGTTTTGGGCACTCGCGGGATCCCGCGTTGTGTGCGGGAAAGAACCCATTTTATAGCTGCCAATTTCACAATTATTTACTTAACCATTTTTCCATCGCAATTATAATTTATAGGTCCGCTAAAACCCATAAAAACCCCGAAAAATGCAATGGGCGGACCCATAAAAAATCTTAAGTATTAAAAAGTGGTTAAATAAACAATTGGGTATTATTATTGAAGAGAACCAGAGTTTTCTGATCTAAAAATATTGATTTTCAAGAATTCTATACCATTTCTACGAAAAGTTGTTTTCCCCATGTAAAAATACATGGAAAACTTTGAGCGACCTCTAAATATTTTTTGAATTAAGAAAAAAAAATTGGGCTATAGTTTTTTCGATATAGAGCAATCCTAGGAGCTGAGAGCATTACAATTCCGACTTAACTATTTTTTGGACCACCCTAATGTACATGCATGCATAAATGTGGGCATATTTAAATCATATAAATAAATATATAATAAATGCAAATACATACAAGCATACACACAAATGTACATACGTACGTTTTATCGTTGTAAAATTACGTCCCAATCGTCGGGAGTGTGAGGAGATTTGCTGAGAAGATGGCCTTTGGTCGACTTTACCCGGATCAATATACACATAATTAAAATTGATTGTTTTTACTTACAAAACAAAATAATAACAAAAAATCAGCCGCAATCTCTGTTCTTGTACTCTGCTTTATAAGTATTGCCTTACATCAATTAGATCCCATCTAACCCATTACATATGTGTTAACATTGTGTTATGTTTATTTAGCTTTCAATGCGGCTAACTAATTACGTGATTAACAACAAAATCAGTCATGACTAACATCATTGAACAATTAAGTTGTCCGAATCAAGTGACGAAATCACCGGAGTGTGAAAGCACTTGTAATTTACAAGTCGCCAAAAGACAATACATTTTGCTGATTTTGATTTCCGAAAAAGAAACAAAAGAAACTAAAATATAACACGTTAAAAATGGCAATAAATAATATGCATGTATGTACATTGCACATGCAAGAAAACTGCACACATACATATATACATAATGAAATTAAGTCTGTCTTATATACTAATAGCATTTGGTTCATGCTTCTATTATATTTATGTGCGAATATTCCTACCCGCATGCTGACACGACATTCTTTACTTACTCTAATTTATGCATATCCAAACAGTAGAAGAAAAATTAGTTCCTTAACCGGAAATTTTCGATTTAACAATGGCAGGTATCTAACAAGTGTCTATGTATTTGATGTCAGCAAAGAATCGACTTCATGAATATTTCATTAATTTCTTCGATTCAGGTTTCAAGAGTACTATTTGAAATGGAACTGATTTTTGATAAAATTTACGCATGAAAAGGGCTGCGCGTTTTAAGAACGACGTACCGGAATGTTTCTCGACCAATGGCCGTTGTGCTGGCGACCTTATCGCTTTAGATCGAAGAACCCTTTCAAAACTAAATTTTTTTCTGGTTGTGTATTTTGTGTTTTTTTACATTACAGCAGCAACAACACTATTATTTTTGCTTTTGCAGCAGTTCATTTANACTAATAGCATTTGGTTCATGCTTCTATTATATTTATGTGCGAATATTCCAACCCGCATGCTGACACGACATTCTTTACTTACTCTAATTTATGCATATCCAAACAGTATAAGAAAAATTAGTTTCTTAACCGGAAATTTTCGATTTAACAATGGTCTAAC